TCTCTCTCTCTCTCTCTCTCTCTCTCTCTCTCTCTCTCTCTCTCTCTCTCTCTCTCTCTCTCTCTGTATATATATATATAGTTCAACTCGCCAGGTGCTCAACCTCAATACTATCTATCTCTCTCCCTCTCACACTCAAACCTTGGATCACACGCTTGCTCTCTCTTCTGTAGCACCTATAAATAGCACCACTTCGTGTTCGTTGTCTGCGTTGGACTGGTAACCATCCCCGAGGCCTTTCAGCTCCAATTGCTAGTTTCGGAAGTCATCGGACTTTCCCACAATGTCGCTGCAAAGTTTTGTCGGGTACCGGCCTAACTTCTACCGACCTATGACACTTCGCCTACCGGACCCTATCAGACTCTTGTACACCTCTAGGAGCCAAGGGACTGGGACCTACTAAGACCCTCGGGGCTGGGAGCAAATGGAACTTTGGGACTGGGACTTGAGACACAAAAACAGCATGAGATCCTTTCACTAGTACACAAGGCGAGGGAGGAAGGAAAGGGGTAGAATACAGAGTCCTATAGGAAGTGAGTGGCAGGGGAGGGAAGACTAGAGGAGGGAAATGGAGGGGCAAAGAACAGTAGAGGAATGGCGAACTTCATAGGGTTCTCAAGGGTTCTCAATACTCACTGCTGGAGCAACTACTATAGGATGGCACAAGAGGCCAGGGAGTGTTTGCGTTGCAAGAGATTTTGAGTTGAGGAGCAGCAGTTGCCTATGGCGAGTGGCCACCAGTACAGGCCACATAGGACTGGATTGGGTGTGGATTGTGGAAGCAATGCATCTAACTCTCGCAATCGAGTTGCTGCATCGAATGGCACAATGTAGACAGATGCCACATGCCACGTTGCTCCTACATGCTAGGAATGCAGAGGCACACCAACCGCAATTGTATAGGCATTGTTGTTCCAGAGCCTGTCTACAAACTGGACATGACATATCAGGGTGCCGTACATGAGTGCAATGCTGGTTGTCATCAAACGTATGAAAACAAGAACTTGCATGGGCTATGCCTTCATAACCGCCACAGCACAAAGCATGCGAATCACATGCTGGGCCATCACAGACCAGCATTGAGCAAGTTTCTTGGGTTTCCACAATCATTACTCCCTCTCTATGGGCAGGCGACAACAAGCGCTGGTCCAAGGTAAGGCTGTTTAGCTATTGCACGTTTTGGTCTGCAACAGCTCGCCCTGGCAGTGATAATCTTTCAGTACAATGCAGGTGGTTCATGTGATAGTCTGTTTTCCTCCTCAAGCTGTTGCATCTATTGTGCGTCTGGCAAGGATGGAGTTCCAACTGCAGTTGCAGCGGGTGTATGTTCAACACTGTGTGTGGGACATCCTGGGAGAGGATGTGGCGGGTGATGGCATCAGGGATAGTCCAAGCAGTAGTGACACATACTTTCAATTACAGCTTCCTGAAAAGATTGACGACACATGGCATGCTGCTGACATGTGAGCAGGAAAGCAGGCTGACGTTCACAGCTATTCAAGCATGGCATGTCAAGGCCACAATGGCATGCCGGGCAAGTAATAAGGGGGTGGGGGGGATGAGTGCAAGACAATGGGTTACAGTTTTCGCGGTAGAGGCTGGCGGTGGTCATCCCTTCATAGTGTTTGGAGCAGAGATTATGCCTTGTGCATGCTAACCAGAGTGTAGCTGTGTGGAGACACAGTGCCACGTCACAGCCACCATCCTCTGGAGAGGGCCCTTCGCTATCCTTGGTAGAATTTGTCCGGGGTACACAGGGAAGGGACGCTGCATGGCAATGTACAGGGGAGGGGGAAGTTAGTCTGTAAAGCTTGCGAGTGCACATCTACATATTATTCCTGATTGACCAGCCTGAGCAAGTGTAAAAAGTTCATAGTTCCCACTGTGTGCACCCTACCTCCATTGTCCCATATGCGGGGGTTTGATCCCTCAGCATAACTGCATAAGGCCCTACATCAGGTACATGCCCGCCCTAAGTGAAGGCGGGCCCCTCAGCTTGTCAATTTTTGCAAAAAACTTGGTCGGCGCCAGACAGTTGCCACGCGCCAGTGAGTTACATCCGCCTTGCTCGTGAGAATCCACAATATCCGTGAGCCCTCCAGGCTCTTCCAGCAATGTAGTCTAAGCCGGGACCATTGCGCGTTTGCGCCTGGGTGGTTGGGCCTGCCTAACCAATTCAGTCCCAGGCCACTGTCTGAACAGGCCTAGGCGCAGACACTTTGGTCAAGACTGAAGCTACTGGAAACTCGATCTCGCATGGGGGAGAGCAAGCAATGTACCCGCCACTTTCCATATAGGAAAGGGAAGGGCGCCGGGATTGTGGATTCGGCACTTGCGAGCCTATGCGGAGCTGCTGCTGGCTGTTGTGTGGGCAAGTGTGTGCGCACGTGCGGTCGTGCGAGTGGTGGAGGGTGCTGCGGAGGGCAGCGCCATAGCTATCCCCCGTAGTCGGGCTTGGCTTGGACAAAGCCACGGGAGGTGGCGGTGGTCTTCGTGTAGTGAGGGAAGACGTGGGAAAGAGAAGACGAGGGAGAGAGAGACACGAGAGATGAGGATGATGATGTGAGGGCACGTACCTGGCCTTGGCGATGGTCTACAAGGTCGACATCTTCATGCACTTCGGTTGTTGCTGCTAACGTCAACGGGATGCAGTGTCAATTTGTAGGCTGGTAGTAGCTGTGTAGAGGAAGTCTGGGCGTTGAGCGCCAAGTAGGAGAAAGGGCTCTGGATACATATGTTTGTGGTGGCGAGAGTGTGCTCTCATTGACATTCGGATTCAGTAGTTTGGTTCTCCGTTGGTGGTATATCAGATATCAGGGCATTTCTGCTTTCTGGACAGCATTGGACTTTCTGGCCTTCAATGTGAATTTGCATTTTGGATTTTCTGTCATTTCGCTATCACTCATTTTCCTTGCATTTTGGTATCGGAGCTGGTTCGAGCCGCTCCGCTGGCTACTTCGCAATAGATGTTTGGTGCTTCGCTGGATGTGGTGGGGCAGTGATAACGCTTGTGCGTTGGGTTGTGACGGTGGCCCAGTGTCGTGTGGGCGCGCCAGGAAGGCTACGTGGTGACATAGGGGTGCACGCTGGATAAAGAGAGTTTGCTGACATGGCAATTTAAGACGAGGTGGAACTGCATTGTGTTGTGGGTTGTGCCGAGGCATCGACCAGTCATCATAAATGCATGTCAGGTTACTAGTGAGAAATTTGTGGTTGGGGGAAGAATTATGAGGTATGTTGCTCCTGACCTTATCTGCCCTTCTCATTACTTCTTACCGTGAGGAAGTGAGTTCTGTCTTGAAAGTCCTCTCATTGTGAGGTGTCGCCAGCGCTCAACCTTGAGAGTCGACATTCTTCCTGGGGAGCAAGCTAGTGGGAGACGGGCGTTGCCTCTAAAGGGCCCTGGACGAAGCGCTCGGGTCACGGTCACAATGCCAACCCACTGGGACTAGTACACGCATGCTTTGCCTCTTGTCCTTGGTCCTGCTTGCTTCTCTGTAGAGCGAAGGTGGACTGACCAGTCCTAAGAGAGACGCCTATCAGACCGTCTATAAATATTTCTGGCGAGATTTGAGTTGAATACTGGCTGTGATCGTCGTCCTGTCTGCGACGTTAAATAATTCTTGAGGCCCTTGGGGGCTGTCCTTAAACTGCCTCTTCATCAGCCAGATCAATCGGATGGAAGGCTCGTTGCACGCGAGGATAAACAACGGGCAGGACTGGTCATAAACGATTTCCTGGGCACAGAGGTGGGCCGATTGCACACCTTCAGACACGCCGTTGAACCAGAGCTTCAAGATGCTGACATCAAGTGACTACTCAAGAGAGATGTATGGGAAGGGAAGATACCAGTAATTAGTTCGGTTATTTATTATTGTGAAAATTTCCATTGTGAATGCACACCAACAAATGATTTTATTTCTGTTTTTGATTAGTTGGTTGTGACGGACACTGCTAACAACTGACAGACAACTGCAGATAGGTAATTCATATTCCTTGCTGCATTGCAATCTGTCTCAGACTAGTCAAAAGTAGGAATTAAATTGTTTGTAGGAATCTGAGATTATTTGTTGTGACCGCTTGACTACTTTCTGAATAAAACTGGACTGAACATTTATTTTATTTTATTTTTATTCAGTTGGATGCTATGCTGCGGTAGGTCCCAGTGAGGACACTAGTGCAGATCGTAGGCCACGCGTAGCTCATGAGTGGAGATGACAGTGAGGTTGAAGGACTAGGGGAAGACGATAGGAGGCTTACCCGGAGATGGGCACTTAGTCGGCCGACCACTTTCCTAGTGTTAGAACAAGGAGAGGAAAGGAGACTGCAGAGAGAAGCTAGGGAGAGGGCCAGACTGCAGAGGGCTAGGGAAGCAGCAGCCAACGCCGAAAGGGCACTAGCAAACGCATTAGTAGCAAACGCTAGAGCCAACGCCGAGGCAGCCATGGGTACCGCCTCTACCATGTCACAGTCCTCACCTCAGGCCTCTTCCTCAGGTGTCAGTCAGGGTGTGTCCCAAGTTTCCATTAGTCAAGACTGCTGACCTGCAGGTCAGCCAGCATCAACCAATGTCAGATGAGGATTATGAGATCCAACAGATGGATGCTCGCCACACAAAGTTACAGCGCCAGTTGCAGGAGGTAGAGGATGGAAGAGAAAGAGCTAGACTTAGAAAAGCGATCATATGCATCCAGGAAAGTGCTAGCGTGAGTATGCCCTAGGAGTAGTGAAAATGGCACACTCAGGACAATAGAGAGAGGTTCGCGGAGAGAAGACTGTGTGCATCGCCACATCACTCACGGAATGTGGAAAGGACAAAACCTATGGCAGGTGTACCTTTCTAGGTTTTTGGAGAAGATACATCCTGCATTTTGCATATTCTAGGAGTGGTGCGGCAAGGCCCTATATCGCTGGAGAGGACGAGGAAGAAAGCTGCCAAGCGGGGGGGGGCAGGGGGGGGAAGAGAGAGAGTAGGTGAGGCAAGGGGTTGAAGTTCTTACATAACTCGCTGAATATATTGGGTGAAGTGTTTTGATAGAAAGATGGCCAGGCGGCGAACGCTCCCTCCACTGCCATGTGGATCGAGCCAGTCGTTGCCCACCAGCATATCACCAATCGCTCGCCTAGGGATAATTTAGGTTGCGGCCAACCTGGAATACCACGTCGCACAAGACGACAAAACAGAGCAACAGAGCAACAGAAAACCTCTTCAATGGATGATCTCGCAGCCTCTCCTCACGGCATTGTTGATATCAGCAGTTTGGAGTTTCTTGACTTTTCGTGGTTAATTTCTCCAGGGACGAGGCCTCCGCCTGGAGAGCCGGTTGATGCCAGTTGGCCCCTGAACGGGGAGCTTTTTGTTATGATTGATGTAAGCCTTGGGCATTGGGTCGGTTTGTAATAAAAATGGATTCCAAGGGGGGGGGGGGAGGAGGGGAACCAAAATAGAAACTACCTGGTAGCACTCTCCTAAATGTATCTGACTGCAATTAGGTCCAAACATCAATGCATCTGGCTCCAATCACGTCCAAACGTGAATGCATCTGACTCCAATTATGTTCAAAAAACCCAAATGCATCTGACAGCAATCACGTCCAGAGCTGAGCCCAGCCCTAGGGTAAGTATGCCCTTAGCTCCCCTCTGTCTACGGTCTTCCTAGAGTGATCATCGGTGTCCGCTCTCTCTTCCAAATCGGTGGAAATGCAGGTAGACAACCGGCCGCGCTCCATTACACAACACTACACATGAATCTGGACTGTGTCGTGTTCCTGATCCATTCACACAGGGCCAACATTTTGAATGTACCGAGACAACTTCCAGATCCACAGACATTTTGAATCTTGTGTAGAGGACCCGAGGCCCATTCTTGCATGACATACACCTAATCCACACCCAACGCATAATAGAACGTCTGCCAGCCCGCCGCCTTCCGCCCCCCGCCCCCACCAAAATAAAATAAAAACTCTGCACCCCGCCCGAGCCCAGCCTGCCTCGCTCTCATCTCCCTTTGTCCGGCTCACTGGGGCGAGGTCCCGCTATCAGAGAGGATTGGATTAAGCGCCTGAATCTGGATGTGTTTCAAGCAGAGATGCAGAACCCCCACCATCAGAAAAATAAAACCTCTGCACCCTCGACCCAGCCCAGCCTACCTCGCTCTCATCTTCCTTTTTCCCGTTCACCGAGATGAGGTCCCACTATCAGAGAGGATTGGATTAAGCGCCTGAATCTGGATGTGTTTCAGGCAGAGATGCAGAAGGCCGATCAATCCCAATTTTCTGCATCAGGAAAGGCAGAAGGACACACTTTGCAATAGAGAACAAAAAAATAAAAAAAAGGACAACAATAAACAGCATTGGTACACAGGGATTGGTTCTGGGCCTCGCTGCACTAGTCTCCAAATGTGCAAAGTGAGAATGAATCTTCCGCTAGAACATCGAAAGATAAACTGCCATCTTTTTTGTCTTTTGTGCATGTGGAGAATAGTGCAGCGAGGCCAATTGTCGCGGACACGGAGATTGACATCCTTGCAACGTACTCCAACATTCTTTTCTTTCTTTTCTTTTCTTTTCTTTTCTTTTCTTCTTTCTCCGCATCGAGGTTTGCAAGGCAATGGATGGGCATGGTATGATTTGAGAAATTATAGCTAGGCCGCCAGGCAAGCTGGACTAGATGCAGTCCTGTGCAATAGATGCTTTTTTCTGTGTAGTTCGATTTTCCTGAGAACAGTTATTCCACGCAATCCTGTGCAATGGTATCAACCTGAGAACAGTTATTCCACGCCTCACAAACACGGCCTAGTAGAGGGGCAGGCGTGAAGATTCCATTTTCCTTGATGGTGGGATTCATATCTCAACCAAGGGATAGTCTTCTCTTCTTCACTGGCGGAGAGATCTGCTGCCGCATGTGTGTGTGTGTGTGTGTGTGTGTGTGTGTGTGTGTGTGTGTGTGTGTGTGTGTGTGTGTGTGTGT